TTGTCATCATCGAGACGATATTCGTGCATGATCCAATCGGTCTTCTGGCCGTGAGGGGCACGACCCGTGTAGAAAACTAGAGTTTTTCTCATCCCTATCCTCCTCGAGCTGCTGAGGTGGATGGCCTTGTCCCGGCCGGTCGCCTTCCAGAAACCAGCGACAGTTGCCCGGTTAGTGCGGGTCCCAGTCGGGTACTTCTTATCCTTGTGGCTAAAGAAGTACCACTCGTTTTGAGGACCCGACCCAATTCGACATTTCTCTGCCCAAAGTCATGCCAATAAATATATTTATATATATCACATATTAAGATGATCCCTAATTAAGGATGCAATTTAGCATAATACATGCATGGTTAATTACTACAAATCGCTTCTAATTGTCGTTTTTTGGCTAATCGATATCGATAATTTAGCTGAATTTTATGGATTTGTGTTGGAGATGTTCGCTGTATTGGATTTTTATCGTTAGACCAACACACACATGTTGATATATATGTGTGTGAGTGTGTGTAATCGAACGATAACAAACATTGGCCAAACAAACTGCAAGATCAAATCCTCCTTTGTATTGTGGTATAATTGAACTCAATATTTTCTTTGGTGGACTCAAAATCTTGATCACATGATTATTAATTAGTAGTACTAATTAAGCCCGTTTTGGGAATCCCAAATAGGAGCTTTAATTGAGTTAATTTTAGTTTGTTCCCACGCAAATGCTGGCCTTTTGAGTTAATTTCCACTTGGTTTGGCCTTAAAGTCAGCAAAATAAGCTTTATTTCCATTTAATTTTCCCATAATTAAGATATTAATGTAATTGCTTAAGCTAATCAATAGAATGGCCCATGCATAATGTATGATGTCATATAATCAAAGGTATCCAAAGACTAAATCTAGTTTAGGGAGATTCTATGGTCCCGTTACGAAATAATTCCGTCAGTTTGTAACCGTTAGATCAACTATCCACGACGGTTGCATGATAATCTAATGGTTGCAAATCCCGACAGAATAGTTCCGTAACAGGACTGTAGCATTTCCCAACTAGTTTATCTTATACTAAAGTATTTATATCCCTTTGATCACTTAATCATTTTTATTTATTTATTTTTTTTTTGTTATTAACTAAGCATATGAAATATTTTAGTAGAGTTTGTAGTGTAATATATGAACTGGAACGACATGATTAAAGGATTAACGTTGGTAGGGGACAGTTAACCACTCAACTATAAAAATTTTGAACTCATGTATATTAGTTTATGAGATACAAATATAGTAAAGTTTTCATCTTAATTGAAAAAAAAAAAAGATATATTTTAATTAAGTACCTAACTAAATCACAGAATGAAAAAAATATATGCTTTAAAATTATCCTAGAAATTACACACAGAAATAAAAAAAAAAAA